TCAACCCCTGATTATAAAGTGTGTAAAGGTAATACTTTACAGTAAAGTCTTATTAGTAAATGTTAGTTGATGGATTAACACTTTGATTGACTTTCTCCCTTTGTACATGTCATCAGAGGGGAAAAGCCCCGCCCATTAGTGACAATCTCTTTCTCATTAGCATAAACAACCCTGAGTAAGAAGCAGCCCATTTGAGTTTTCACCTGCTGAAGATAATGCCAGCGCCTAAGAGGATTATAAATGTGGAGATTTAGGATGCGCAAATGAACAAAGGAAAGTGTTTCAGTTTTTAAAATAGATAACAGACACTATGGTGATGCACAGGCTTTTGTAGCACCGCTCTCTTTTGGAATGAGCATATTCTCACTTGAATTTAAAGTGACAGTCACCAAAACAGCACAATTTGTATCAAAGCCTAAAAGGGAGAGTTTCAAAGAGTTGAAAAAAATTATTAATATTTTGAGCTAAAACTACAAATACACACTCTAGGGACATCAGAGAATTGTTTTACATCTTGTAAAAACGGGCATGATAGGCCCCCTTTAATATTAGCTAAAAAAAGAGTTGAGTTTTTTTAGTTATTAACTCCATTTAATAAAATAATTACAAATTGGAATCAGATTATGATTACATTTTTAATTTACACCTAACATTTAACCAGTTAAACTCTGCTGTTATTTTGGGATTTTCGCCTGGATTTTGCCTACCCAAATTTAAAAGCTTCCCAAATCGACATGCAGAGGTGTAAATGCAAAAAATTGGCATCATTTTAAAGAAAACCCTTTGAATTTTCATAAAACACTATTGAAAGTGTTTAAAATAACTGTATATGTCGTCTGTGTTATAATAAACACCTAAAAAAGAGGCGCTTTTTGTATTTTTTTTATAAACTCAAATTTAAAAGTGTACCTTTTAGGTTCTGTGTGGTCTAGGGTGCTGTAATTAATTTTGGTGGTTCCTACACATGTCTGTAATCATAGTAAAAAAGAAAAATGTCTCTACCATAATATATGCCAAAGTTATTGTATTTCACCTTATGAGAGGTGCTATACAAGCCACAGGGCTAGGTAAGAGATAACGGCTGTCTGTACTATCTGGGGCTGCTTATTGATCATAAATGTATTGTTTTCACTTCTGCGCCATGGAATCACCGCAATTCATTCGACAACTTTTTGATATGTAAATATAATTCAGTAAAAAGAACGCTAAAACTGTTTGAGCACCGGCAAGAGCTTTCATTTGAGCTATAACTTGTACATGTGTCATATATGAACCATATGAAAATGAACCAATGTAAAATACCCAGCTCGGGTATCCAAAATACTGTGTATTTAAGTGTAAATAACTTTTGTACAGTAGAACCAAAAAACCAAAGTGATGCATATGTGCATAAAATATAGATTCTACACTTTCAAATGAAATCACGTAAGGGGGTCTGGTGCAATGCTAGCCCTTTAAATCTTAAAGCGAAAGTCGATGACATCACGGACCCGGTACTGGGTCAGCAAAGTTTAACTGGCTAATATTAGTAAAAGCTTTCATAGTTTTCATCGCAAGTTTATTTAAATGAGCTAATATTAATGATTGGAGTTCAACTATCGTCATAAAAAAGTATGTAAAAAAAAACATACTTTTTTACCTCAAATGTAGTTTTTTCCCATCTACCAACTGTGTCTTCCACAGGACTCAAAGTTTCATGTGTGGCATAAAAACTAAACTAAGCATATGTGCAGTGATTGAGTTGATAGGTAATAAGTTCCTATTTGCAGAAATTGGGTGTTAAATTTCTCCCATGTTGCAACTAACTCTCGGCTACACTGTAATCCCGAATAAGTTGACAAAACTCAAAAAATTTGAGGTAATCAGTTACGTCAAATTTTTTAAGTTATGAAATTATCTATTTTAAGTAAACAGAAACATTAAGTTTTGAGTTTGTTGTACTCATGCAAGACACTTCACCTAACTTAAAATACCCAAGTTACTCAGCTTATACGTTTTAATTGCAATTAACTTAATTGTTTTAATTTTTCCAAACTTTAAATACTTAAGTTACCCAGCTCATACATTTTAATACCAATTAACTTAATTGTTTTAATTTTTCCAAACTTTAAATACTTAAGTCACCCAGCTCATACATTTTAATACCAATTAACTTAATTGTTTTAATTTTTCCAAACTTTAAATACTTAGTCACCCAGCTCATACATTTTAATACCAATTAACTTAATTGCTTTAATTTCTTTCAACTTTGAATACTTAAATCACCCAGCTCATACATTTTGATAGCATTTTTTAAAATTAACTTCTCCATCGTCAGTTTCACAAATAAAATAAGGCATTCGTTAAAAAAATAATAAGTGCACATTCTGTGAAGTGACTCGTTTAGTGTAAACTACACAGAAACTGTATATATATATATATATATATATATATATATATATATATATATATATATATATATCGTTGAAGTCAGAATTATTCGCCCCCATTTATTTTTTCCCCCAATTTCTGTTTGACGGAGAGCATATATATATATTCAGTCTTGGTTGAACTATGATTCTGTCATTTACTTATTCCAAACCTGTTTAAGTTTCTTTCTTCTGTTGAACACTTAAAAGGTTATTTTTGACCAAAAAAAAAAAAAAGCTGAGACCTGTAACCACCGATTTCCACAGTATTTGTTTTCCTATTAGAAAGTCAGTGGTTACAGGTTGTCAGCTTTACTTAACTTTTGTGTTCAACAGAAACAAGAAATTCAAGCAGGTTTGGGACAAGTGAAGAGTTAGTAAATGACAGAATTTTACATTTGGACAAACTATCCCTATATATAATAAAATGCACCCTTATGAATTAAAGGTAAATAAATGTTTTAAAGTTACTACCCCAGAGACAGTCTTTATTAAGTAAAAAAAAACAAAGCAATCAACTCATTCTTTAAGGTTTCCATGCTACGAGACTTTTTATTTTCCATCATCCATGCCAAGCAAAACTTTTTGCACAAGTTCAAAGTCCTTTACTATATATTATGTGAAGAACATACATTAATCCATACAAGACAAGAAAGGTCTGGAAGTGTGCTGTGGGTGGTGTCCAATTCATTCTTCAGGACAACAGAGACCCTCAGTGAATGCAGGGCCAATAAAGCATCTTCAGTCAGCAGGATTATCAATCTAAAAATATAATTCAAGGATATTAATGTAAGGACAGTATCAAAATGACTGAGCCAATATTATATGATTCATCAACTATCTGTGATTACAAATATGTTAAGTAAAAGTTTTCAAAACTTTCATCTTTTTATTAAACATGCCTAATTGTGAAAAGAATGAATGAAGTCTTACCAGGGTGTTCCTAAAGAATCTTAAGTCACGCTCACGCAGCAAGACCAAAAGACCTCTGATAAGAGTAGTCCGTCATGAACTGACATCATGCAGTTCCTGGAAATCAAGTATAATAAATGATGAATAAATGATTTTAAATCAATTAAAAAAAAAAAAAAAAAATTCAAATTATATTTTAATGTATACTTTAACACGTGACCCCAAACATACCTGCTCATCATAAGCCTTTAAAAGATTAGCCAGGGTATCTGCTGTCTTGCCAGTTTTGGATGCTGTTTGCCTTGAAATTGTCATCAAATGAAATAGGTGGTGGTCCAGTTGTGCAAAGAATTTGTGGGGAAAATTCTCATTTGTAACATGTTGGTACTCTGCAAACAGCAAAAAGAAACAAGAGAGAATTTCATAAAACAAACCCACACCACAAAATATACAATTCTAGAAAAAAATTTATTAATATTATTATTATGTTTCATTTACTTATCTATTTTTTACCTCAGATAAAAAATCAGGTGTTGATCAGATGTTGAAAGCAGGATCTTCATGTTGTAAACTGAACTCAAGGTCTAGCTGAAGTTTCACTTTCCTTGTAGTTCCTATCTGTAGTCAGCAACACCCGACCTTCAATTCTGTAAGTACACAAAGTCACAGTGTCATTTAGCTGAGAGTGGAAGTAGTACAATTGCATGATGTCTAACGTTAACCTCCAAAACGGTTAGCAATAGAGCTGATTATCATGTTAGTTGCTTTGATTTGATGAACACAGATTTAATTTAAACAGTATTGAAATTTCTAAAACTGAATAGGACGACAAAGAAATTTAAGGCCTGATTTTAAAAGCTAGAAATAACAAAACTTACCTTATTGTCTAATGATGTAAAAATATATAGACTAAAATATTTATATTTTTAAGATATAAATATATTTTAATATTTTAAAATATTATATTTTTATATTTTAATTAAAAATATATTTTATTTTATTTTATAATATTTTTATATATTTTAACGTTAGTTAGCAACAAGTGAGGCTAAACATGTTTTCTGTAATGTACGACATGTAAACGCACCCTGATTAACTCTACATTACATTGAACTGTTACTGTGATTATATTAATTAAAACATACATTTAATATTTCTTGGATTTGTAAATATTTTACTTACTGTAGTGTGAAGCGAGGCCGATCCGCCATCTTGAAAAAAACGAATGAAGCATGAGCACGTACGTGAACCTGGATGACGTCAGACGCAAAATCACTGGGCTGACAGATTTTGAGTTAATGAAACTTTAAAGAGACATTTTGTATAAATTAAACCCAGCAGAATTGTTCACCTTACTTGAAAGATTAAATTTTTTCAATCTCAAAAATAAGAAAAAGTTCTAAATACTCATCAAGGTTAATTAAGATAAACGAATTTTAATGATTTAAGTTAATAGTACTCAATTCAATTAATTAGTTACAGCATTAGGGTTTACAGTGTACATGAGATTATTTCAGAAAGAATCAGTTTGCACTAAAGAAAATGGATTTGTAGCCCTAATAAGCATCAAATACCATTTAAAAATAGCAAAGAACTGCAGTATATTGTGTTTTTTAGGATGTCGCTATGTTTTTGGATCTGTATCAACAATTTATACTGTGATTTTCTTTTGCTGAACAGCGCAAGGGTGTGAAGCCCACCAGTGTCCGCATAATCTCAGCTGTGTTCTCCATCCTGATTGGCTGCTTGGTCTTCATCGCCGTGCCGACCATGGTGTTTCAGGAAGTGGAGAGCTGGAGCCTGCTGGAAGCGGTGTATTTTGTTGTGATTACACTCACCACGGTGGGCTTTGGGGACTATGTGGCAGGTGCACAAATATACATACTATAATCATTATGTTATTCGGTTTACTGTGTCATGTGACCGTTTGATAATTCTGTTAAGGAGCTCAGTATTGTATTATGCAAGGAAACGCAGGATGTTTTGTGGTCCAGACGGCCATCAACTCGCAGACATTTATTTCATTTAATTATCGGTTTCTGAAAGCTGTAGACACTAATTGTAGCAAAACTAATTGATATAGCTATAATAACAGAGCAGAGCATGCACTTATCAGTGAAAATCTTTCGAGATCTTAATAAGTAGTTTGTCATGTAAGACGTGTTTTTGTCTAAAGTCACTTACAGTACACTTATTAAAATATAAAGTTACATGTACTCCATTAAATTCACTCATCCCAGTCTATACAGCGGGGTAAATAAGTATTGAACACGTCAGGTTTTTTCCTGAGAATAATAATTCTAAAGGAGCTGCTGACATGGAGTTAAACTAGATTTTGGTAAAAATCCAAACAATACAAACGTAAAATTAAACAAAACGGAACAAATCTGAAAAATTAGTTGTGTGTAATAACAATGGAATGACACATGGAGAAAGTGCTGAACTACTGAAATGTGTTTAATACTTTATTTAAAAGGCTTTTTTGGTAAGGGCAGTTTAAAGATGCCTCACATATGGAGAATGAAGTCACTTGAGTTGCTCAGGAGTTGTTGGAATATCTAGCCAATTCCATGCGTGTTCAATAAGAAAAGGTCTGGAGAGGATTTTCTTTAATGTCAAAAATTGTAACAATTTATTGGATACAAATGAACAATTAGATGACAGAGCTCTGGGTTACATTACCCCAATGCAATACAAGAATTACATTCAAGAGGTTCGCAACTAACATACATTTCCTGACTCCAGCATATATACACAACTGATCTTAACAGTAGGAGTTTTGTTGTAACGTCATTTTTCAGTCATTGTTCAGTCCTCCATTGGCCGCACCTTTGACATACTTCCTCCTTTTCTACGAATTCTGTGCACAACAACAAAGCATACATCTTTCTGTGCTCTGTGTTCAGTTTTAACACCTCTCTTCAGACAGGAAGTTTCTGCAGAGCTGAATTTAATTTTGGACCCGCATCTATCTACTTCTGCAAAAATGCTAATTAGTATGCACAGCACTCACCCACAACATTAGAAGTTCAGTTAATATATGACCCTTACATGACCAATACAAATAATTGTTTGATTAAAAGAAAAAGAAAAAATATAAATAAAAAATAATAAAAAATTATTCATATTTTACAACAGAGTGTAAAAATCTTGATGGTTGTGAGGGTCTCATCTATCAAATCCGATCTTTAGTTTGTAATTTATATTGGGTTCAGGTCAGGTGATTGGCTGGGCCATTCCACAGCTTGATTTTCTTTCTCTAAAAGCATTTAAGAGTTTCCTTGGCTGTGTTTTGGATCATTGTCCTGCTGAAATGTCTACTCTGGTTTCATCTTTTTGAAATTAAAAAATAGCTATAATATAGATTTACATATTTATAATGAAGTTATAGAAAGAGTAAATGCAATTAAGTTTCTTGGTGTTGAATTGGATCAAAAAATTAAATCAAATAAATAGTGGGATATCAAAATTAGTCAAAACTGTAGCAATAAAAAAAGTTTTATCAATGTATCAATATCTATCAATGTATATATTATATAATACACTTATGTTGCCATATATGAGTTGAAATTTGGGGAAATTACATATTAATCTAATCCGTATGTACAATTCAGAAAAAAGTAATTAGATTGATAGAACATGTGGGGTATTTGGAGCACACAAATCCTTTATTTTTTAAATTGAAGATACTTAAGTTCAATGATTTGGATTCATTTAAAACAGCACAATTTATGTTTAAAGCTAGGAATAAATTACTTCCAAAATGCATACAAAACTTTTTTGAAGAAAGACAAGAGGGATATCTGAGAGAAGAACAAAATTTTAGGAGGTTGAAAACAAGGACAACTTTAAAAAGTTTGTGTATGTCTGTTTATGGAACGGTCTATATCAGATTTTTAAACAATATCAGAATAATATTCAATTTAAAAAGTGGTATAAATATATATTATTAAAGGAATATAATGAGGAAGGTGATTGAATAAGGATCAAATGAGAAAGGCATGATTTAGTTTTAATTAATGGCTGTTTGCAGTACTATGTTTTTTGGGCTCTATGTTACAAAATGTCAAGGTACAAATGGAATCAAACATATAATATGTCTAAGATGCCAAAAGGATAAAATATGTCCCATGTAAAAAGAAGAGATAAGTAAAAGAAGAAATATGGGTGGGAAAATAATAAGCTTGTGCTTCATCCCACTCCATGTTCAGCCATGTTGAAATGTAATTTTTGTTAATGATATTTTATGTATGATATTTCTGTTCAAAAATAAATACATCAAATAAAAAAAAAATCAGATCAAATCTTCATCATCCTGCTAATGTAGATGTTGGACTGAAGCAGCTCATATTCGGTAACATGTTAGAATAACTATCCATTATAAGAAGTTAATAGTCCAATAATAAACTGTTAGTTAATGAGTTATAAATCACTTGTTAAATAAAAGTTAATAGTTTATTGATTATTTATAACTGGGCCTTATAGATTGTCAATAGATAACTTACAAACTGTTAGTTAACAAGTTATGAATGACTTGATAACTGTATTTTAATGATTTATAACTATACCTAATACATTAGTTATACATCAGGGGTCACCAATCTCGGTCCAGGAGGGCTGGTGTCCCTGCAGGGTTTAGCTCTAACTTGCCTCAACACACATGCCTGGATGTTTCAAGTATACCTATTTACACTTTTTACAAAAGAATTTGGAAACAATGACGTTTAAATCTCACAGTATGTAATGTCCGTGTACTTAATACTTACTATCCCGCTATGCCTACTGTACACTACCTGATAAAAGTCTTGTCATCTATCCAAGTTTTAGTAAGAACAAATGATAATTTGACTTCTAGTTGATCATTCGGTATCAGAAGTGGCTCAAAATAAAATATGATCATGCCTTGATTTTTAATTATTTAATTAGGATAGTAAGGTCTGTGAAAAGTCTTGCCACTTAACAGAAATAATGTACAATATAGAATATTAAGTCATACTGTTGTGGAAAAAGAATGAATATTGTGTATGACTCCCATGAGCTTGGAGGACTGCATCCATACATTTCTGCAGTGACTCAAATCACTTATTAATAAAGCCATCTGGAATGGCAAAGAAAGCGTTCTTGCAGGACTCCCAGAGTTCATCGAAATTCTTTGCATTCATATTCAATGCCTCCTCCTTGATCTTACCCCAGACATGCTCAATAATGTTCAAGTCTGGTGACTGGACTGGCCAATCCTGGAGCACCTTGACCTCCTTTGTTTTCAAGAACTTGGAAGAAGCTGAGGTATGAGAAGGAGCGCTATCCTGCTGAAGAATTTACCCTCTCCTGTGGTTTGTAATGTAATGGGCACAAATGTCTTGACACCTCAGGCTGTTTATGTTGCCATCCACTCTGCAGATCTCTCACACGCGCCCATACTGAATGTAACCCCAAACCATGATTTTTCCTTCACCAAACTTGATTAATTTCTGTGAGAATCTTGAGTCCATGTGGGTTCCAATAGGTCTTTAGCAGTATTTGTGATGATTGGGATGCAGTTCAACAGATGATTCTTCTTCTTCTTAAAAAAAATCCACCTTCTGCCACTTTTTCAAATGATCAACTAGAAGTCAAGTTATTAATTTTGCTCTTAAAACTGGGATCGACGACAAGACTTTTGTCAGGTAGTGTAGGTATGTCCAGATAATCATTCTTTGGCACCTTTCATGAGCAAATTTCATGAGTTGAATCAGTTCAACACTGTAGCTGGAATTGATCACCAGTTTAGCTGACCAGAGTAAGGATCTGTATCTCAACATAACTGTGTATTGACATTTAAAAAAAATTGCATTAAAATCTCTGCAGTGACCAAACCATCATCAGAAGAAAGAGTCAAAAGACTACAATAATCTTTGCAGAAGAGCTTTTTTTTGTAGACAAAGAACAAAGCGCACATCACAAGCCATGTTTCCATCCAAAGATGCTAAATAAATTTACGCGCAAAACTGGAATATTGCATAAAACAATTGCAAATGAAGAACTGTTTCCATCTAACGAGTCCAAAATTATAATTTCCTGATAGACTGGCACCAAATATCAAAAGAAAAATGAAAGTTGCTGCGTTAGGAGAATAACTTGCGTCTTAAAACATGTAGACGAAACGCACATGTTATCTTGCATCTTGTGCTCTCTCATGTCATCTTGCTTTTGGAGGAGAAAACTTCATTCGTGAGATCTCCATGTTCTGCTGATGTTTTCCATCAAGGATTGCCGTCACTTCTTTCTCATATATAACATTTAAAAATGTTCGGACCTCATCGTCCACCCAAACATTCCTGTCAGATTCTGCCATTTAGTGATCCTATGATCTGTTGAAACAAAAATCACTTTTTTTGATGCTCATGCTGGAATTCATTCGGTACATGCGTTTCCATTATAGTTTATGTAAATTTGTAACTAATGTGCGCATATTTTGTTATGTGCATTTTCAAAATGTATGCGCATCTTGGTGTTTCCATCTAGGGCTGGGGTGTCCAAACTCGATCTCGGAGGGCCAGTGTCCTGCTGAGTTTAGCTCCAGCTTGCTTCAACACACCTGCCTGGAAGTTTTAGTAATAGCGTGATTAACTGATTTGATTAGGGTTGGAGTTGAACTCTCCAGGACACCGGCCCTCCAGGACCAAGTTTGGACACCCCTGATCTAGGGTTATTTGCGATATTCCAAAATGCACATAAAATAGGTTGATGGAGATGCAAGTACTATCACTTTCTAGCCAACTGTCCAATCACAGCAGAGGAAGGACGGTAACCAACAGTACTGCAGATTTTTTTGAATCACAGTAAACAAAGCGTCTAAACAGATAATAATAATAAACAAATGATGTGCTCAGAAGCTCTCAAATGGCCACAGTTATTTGTTTTAGAGAAACACTGGCCAGCTGGCTACAAACCTTTTGGTAGACACACAGCCTAAGAAACTTCTTTCTTTAAAAAAATCGTACTGACCTCAAAGCTTTGAATGCTAGTTGTTGGTCCAGCTTAACTTGTATTTAACTCAGAATATTCCTTTAAGTGCTCATGGGCACTACGGTGATTGCTCACGGCTCAATCCTCAAACCAACAATCTTCCTGTTATACCAGCTCTGGGCTTTAACCACTAGGCAACGCCACCCTTGTGAACAACCCATGTGTCATTATCATTACTTTTTTCTCTCTATTCCAGAGAACAGGAGAGATGGAACGCCCCTGTACAAGCCATTGGTGTGGTTGTGGATAGTGTTTGGTCTGGCGTATTTTGCATCCATCCTCACGATGATTGGGAACTGGCTTAGAGTCCTTTCAAAGAAGACGCGTGCAGAGGTGAGAGAGAACAATGGGCTGATCTAGTTATTATGGACCATTATTGTTGTTTTAAATTGATTTCATATGAATAGTTGTTTAACAATTAACATAGGTGTAAAAGTCCCCACTAATCTACTGTACGTGTTTTTAAAACATTGAATAAAAATGTAAATGTTTGCACAATGTATTCCAATTGCTTATTGAAATTACAATTCCAAATCAGAAAAAGTTGGGTCAGTATGAAAAACGGAACTACAAAAAGAAAGACGTGATATCTAAATTTGACTTGTATTTCATTGCAGACAATATGAACACAAAATATGTCATTTCATTTGTAAATATACATCCTTTCCTGTCATTCAGACCTGCAACACATTCAACAAAATGTTGAGACAGGAGCAATTTAGGGCTAGTAATCAGGTAAATTGGTTAAATAATTATGTGATTTGAAACAGGTGATGTCAACAGGTGATTGCAATTATGATTTGCTACAAAAGCTGCATCCAAGAAAGGTCTAGTCGTTCAGGAGCACAAATGGGCTGTGGATCGCCAGTTTGCCAACAAATACGTAAGAAAATTATTGAAATGTTTTAAAACAATGTTCCCCAAAGAAAGATAGGAAGACATTTGGATATTTCACCTTTAACAGTGCATAACATCATTAAAAGATTCAAGGAACTTCAGTGTGTAGCTGAAATTCTGTGACCTCCGATCGCTCAGGCGGCATTGCATTAAGAATCCTGATTCATCTATATGTAATATCACCACATGGGCTCAGGACTACTTTGGAAAACCTGTCAAGTAGCACAATACCTAGTTACATCCACAAATGCCAGTTAAAACTTTACTGTGCCAAAAGCAAGCCCTATATTAGCAATGTCCAGAAGACTTCTCTGCGCTCAAAGGCATCTGGCATGGACCGTCACACAGTGGAAACATGTACTTTGGTTGGATGACTCAATATTTCAGGTATTTTTTGGTAGAAATGGATGCCATGTGCCAAAGAAGAAAACAATCATCCAGACTGTTACCAGCAACAATTCCAAAAGCCAGGGTCTGTCATGGAATGGGGTTGTGTCAGTGCCCTTGGCAAAGGTAGCTCGCACTTCTGTGATGGCACCAATGCTGAAAGTACATAGAGATTTTGGAGCTTTTTTTTGGTTCCTTCTTTTCCAAAGACGCCCATGCATATTTCAACACGACAATGCAAAACCACATTTTGCACACATAAAGTCCTGGCTGCGGAGGAAAAGGATACAGGAACTTGACTGGCCTGCCCGCAGTCCTGACCTGTCTCCAATAGAGAATGTGTGGTGCATTTTGAAGCGTAAAAAGTGACAACGAAGACCCCGTACTGTTTCCCACTTTAAGACTTGTTTGCAGGAAGAATGGGACAAATTTACACCTAAAACACTTTACCACTTTGTGTCTTCAGTGCCTAAATGTCTTTTAAGTGTTGTGAAAAGGAATACAAGAACCAATGCAACAATACATTTGCAAGAACCAAATTTGTAATACATGTTTATTTTGGAGAAAAAAAAAATAGCAAAATTATGAGAAACACATTAAATTGCAATGAAAAACAATTCAAAGTAAATTTAGAAATCACTACTTCTTTTTTTTTTATTTGCGTTTTCCATACTCTACTAACTTTTTCTGATTTGGGGTTGTAGTTTTATACCACTTGAGTGATATGGATTACCTTTACATTGATTTTCTAATCATTTTTAAGCAAAAAAAAAGGTTAAGGTGAACAAAGGGTCAGTGTAAATCTCTCAAGGTTACATTAAAATATAAATCTCAGTGTAATGTGGGTAAGAAAATGGTGACAAGATTTTCATTTTTGGGTGAACAATAGTTTAAAATTTACTGATTTACAGATTCAAGCTGCGGCCACAGTGGGCTTATCCTCCCATAGATGTCCATTCACACGCACGCGAATGCGTCAGACCAGAAACGCAGGGTCATGCGACAAGTTTTGCAGGTTGCTGCGGTGCAAAGTTCAAGCTCGGTGAACTCTGACCTGCGAAATCGCATCACTTGACTGCGGGAGACCAATCGAGGATCAAAACATGACCTCTGTGGACAGAAATTTCAAACATGGAGCAATCGCTCGCTTTTTTAAATGTCTAATAAGCTTGTTTAATCCCTTCCCTTTTCGCAGCACCGCACAACAGAATATCGCATGCTCAAACTCTAATGTGACCGCAGCTTTATACAAATATTCAGACTGATATCTGCCAATTCTCCTATTCCTTTTTATTTCTTTCTGAAAATGAACGATGAATTCCTAAATTTTGATTCTTTCCATTTCCTGAGTTGTCTTAGATAAACTGGTCTTGGTCGATTCAATTCACTAATGGGTCGTAGACAACAGTAGTAAAAATGTATGTGTATATATATATTATATGGGAATATTCCTTCATTCATTTACTTTTTGGCTTAGTCCCAAATGAACTGCCAACTTATCCAGCACGTTTTTATGCAGCAGATGCCCTTCCAGCCGCAACCTCTCTGGGAAACATCCACACACACTCATTCACACTCATACACTACGGGCAATTTAGCCTACCCAATCCACCTGTACCGCATGTCTTTGGACTGTGGGGGAAACCGGAGCACCCGGAAAAAAACCCACGCGAATGCAGGGAGAACATGCAAACTGGCTCAGCCGAGACTCGAACCAGCGACCTTCTTGGTGTGAGGCGACAGCACTACCTACTGCGCCACTGCATCGCTTATTATATAGGGATATTTAAAAATAAAAATTATATATTTATTTTGTTTAAAGCCTGATGTTTGAGAAAATATGTACCTTTCCTTTCCTACGTTAAATACTACATTTCCTAACAGCAAAAATTAAGAAAAAACAACTCTTAAAACTGCACAAATTGTATGAAAGCATTTTATTTCCATTGCTGGACAGTTATCTTCAAACAGTGCTTTTATGTTATATGAAATTATTAATAATATTTGTAATAATATGACTTGTCAAATCTGTGTGAGATTTGGATTTGTGTTAAATGTTAGTTTGTTAAAAAGTGTATGACAGTTTTTAATTCATGTTTGTTAAGCTACTATCTCTTTCTTGTACCGCAAAGTAATTCTTTCTCCCTTTTTTGTGGCACTATTTATCTCTTTTAGATGGAGGAGCTGAGAGCTCACGCCACAGACTGGACTCAAAACATCCAGAACATGTCTATGGACTTCCGTATTCCCGTTCCACTGGATCTTAATGACCCCTTTCAGCTTCAGCGGAGACGCAGAAGGAAGCGCCACCACCACCATCATCATCATCATCGCCACCCAAGACCAAACACAACAGGACTGACTCATGGGATCTCTCTTGATGCCGATATTATCAGAGAGAACGGACATCTGATCCTTGGCTGGCCGACATGCAGATACAAACCAGCTTCAGAAGTACTGTCCCAATCCAGGTCAATGAGCAGGATTGATGGAGCGCATTATGAGATGAGACCAGGATCACGGCTGACAGTAGGACCGACGTCGAGATCCATCTCACGGCTAGAGCTAAAACCAGCATCCAGAGCCGGGTCCAGAGCCATTTCCAGATCCCCCTCACAATCCGAATCGGGGTCATTTTCTGCATCCGAGACACCATCTGAGTCCTGGTCGGAATATGAATACGAGTCAAACTCCTGTAACTCAGAGGATGTGGAATCTGGAGCGAAGGCATCACGGAGATCACTGGAAAGTCAGAATGATGTTCCGATTGTGGTAGTTGCAAGCTGCAGTCCACCCCGTCCGTCCCTTCTGGACTTCTTTGGCGAGAACCTAGCCTACATCGACGAGTCTTCCGACGCTCTTAGTGATCGGGTCAAACCGTCAGGACAGAACCGTCAACGCAGACCAAAGAGGAGGAGTATGACAAAGCGGCAGCCTGCTGGACTACAGAGGGAGGTCAGTAATGAACTACAACCCCCATCACATCCTCCGACTCCACCACCTCCAACATCTTAGCTTTCAAAATCACTGTCAAACACTGTCAACCAAAATGACTTGCGTAATGAACTCTGGCTTTCAGAATAGCACACTACATCTTTTTTAAATTATATATACGATAAATCAGATCCTCCACTATTTTGAGATTGCTGTATTTAACGCAAATTGTCGGAAGATTTCCCACTTTTTTTTTTTTAGTTCAGTCTGGTTTAAATTCCTGCACCGTCACAGAGCGCCATCTGCACAGTTTTACATTCAAAAACAATAGTATTTGAGTATAGAATGTGCTCGTACGGTTTGCAAAGCCTCTCTTGTACACACATTGGATCATTTACATCAATTTGTTCAAATAGTCGTCAAACAATACGGTTATTTATTGTTTTTATCGCAAATTTGACCCTGGACCACAACATCAGGGATAAGACTACATTGTTTGGAAATTGAGGTTTATACATCATCTGAGACGCTGATTAAATAAGTTTTATATTGATGTTAGTGATGGGTCGTTCATGAACGATTCGTTCATTTTGAACGAATCTTCAATATGACTCGGGAACTATAGCTGCGTCCCAAATCGCATACTTATGCACTTACTACGCCATTTTGTAGTAAAAATAGTATAAGTAGTGTGTTCACATTGAAAACTCTAAAAATAATAAGTGCACACTTTAATTACCCGGATTCAGGGTAATTAGACCTCATTCAGCCGCTAAAATGAAGCGTGGAATGATGGACACATCACGCACTCAACGACCGCAGGTTTGCTCACGTAGCGGAAGGGCGGAGCTATCGGGCGCACATGTTGGATAACTTTATTTATTTTGGATGGTGAAAGCAAAATTTTCCTACAAAAGTGTTTATAGCGCCTCCCGATGGTGAATGCGGTTATACTCATGGCAGGTATTATTCGATAATTCGGTTGTTTATTTCACTGATTTGGCAACCGTCAAACGTCATCAGGGAAACGGTTTGAATTTCCGCTTAGTAAAAAAAATGTTAGTGTGCCATTTGGGACGACACCACACATATACTATGCTGTTGAGTGTGTAAGTGCATAAGTACATAGTGCATGAGTGCATAGTGTATAGTGTGCCATTTGGGACGCAGCTTATGAGTCCTCTCTGGGAGTGATTCGTTCATCCGTGTGTGTGTGCACATTTGTGGAGGTGGTATCGTTCATTTTAAGTCTTGAGTCGTTCATCGCGGAAAGGCGGAAGTCAATCATATGCGTTTAGAGACAGAAAAAGTATTGATCCATTCATCTCTCGAGTCCTCTATCTGGTTTGAGGCATTTGTTCCTCATGGGCCAATCATATACATTTAGAGCCGGAAAAAGAATTGAATTGAAAGGTGAACTAATTATCATGGCTCCTATTGACTCAGACTGTGTACCATAGTTAAGATTATATGTGACTATCAGTGTAACGTGAATGAACCACTGACATTTGAAGAGGTAAACTGAGCAAAGAGACAATACCTTCATAGACAAAAGAGCAGGTAAACATTGAATTATTATTTTCTCCTTCTTATAGTATTCTGTTTATGACTTATTTGTCGTGTGATCAACCTTTTGGGCTAGTTAGGGACCGAGCACCGAACGGTGCAAGGCCCTATTGGAATTGCTCCGTTTCTTATTATTATTCTTCCGACTTCTACCGCGGAATGAATCGCGGTTTTGAGGGGCTCAACATGCCCGAAAACTCACGAAACTTTGCACACACCTCAAAAGTGGTGAAAATTTACGTTTATTATGGGTTTCGGAAGTGGGCGTGGCAAAGTGACTCGACAGCGCCACCTATAAAAATTAAACGGACGAGCCCCTGATCTACGAATCACGCACATGCACGAAAATTGGCACACACCTCAAACATGCCAAAACATACGAAAAAGTCTCTTGAAGCTATATCTCAAACCCAACAGGAAGTCGGATATTTTTAACTTCCTGCGGCGAAAAAGTGGCATTTTTGCCATTTCCAGGCGTTGTATTTTAACGAACTCCTCCTAGGGATTTTATCCGATCGACACCAAAATTGGGTTTAGTCATCTAAAGGCCTTGGCGATGTTAAATTGCAAAAGCTTTTGAGTTTTCGGCGATGGGCGTGTCTGTGGTGGCCTCGCAAACTTTGATGATTCGCCACAAAACAGGAAGTTGGTATAACTCAGGCATGCATTATCCGATCTGCTTCAAAATTCACACGTTTGATAAGAGTCCTGACCTGAACACGTTTACATGCAAATATCCAGATACAATTGTAGCGCCACCTGCTGGCCACAGGAAATGACATGTTTTACAGTGTAACAAACTCCTCCCACAATTGTTTTTGTATCAGCACCAAAATTGGGTGGTGTTATCTGAAAGCTCTAGCGATGATATATTGTGAAGATCTAGAGTTTTCGCAGAGGGGCGTGTCTGTGGCGGCATGACAAACCTCAACGCTTCGCCATGGAACAGGAAGTCCTTATAACTCAACCACAAAAAGTCTGATCAGCCTGAAACTTCACATGGTTGATAAAAGTCCACCCCTGAACACATCTACATAACAATATTGAGTCAGTCATAGCGCCACCTGCTGGCAGAAGGTAGTTTGGCTTATAACTCAGCCACACAATGTCTGATCTGCCTGAAACTTCACATGGTTGATTAAATTCCTCTCCTGAAGACATCTACATGCCCATAGAGTCACAGTCATAGCGCCACCTGCTGACAAAAGGCAGTTTGGCTTATAACTCGGCTAAACAATGTCCGATCTGCCTCACAGTTATAGCGACACATGCTGACAGGAGGAAGTTTGGCATAAATCTTAGATTTTCTCAGATTTTTTAAATATCTCAGCTTAAATTATTATTGTTTCCTCTTCTCTGTCATCCTGCGGCCACTGGGCGGCGGTGAGCCCGGGTGCGAGGTCCCTATCATCGCTGCTTGCAGCTTTAATTATAGATGTGTTTGGAAGCAATTCGTAACATTTTAATAATATTTTGGCAAATTCAACCAAATGAACAAAATGACTCGAAAAAAGATTTGTTCATCTCGATGAACGAGACTCAAAGATCCGAGTCAGTAAAATGATCCGAACTTCCCATCACTGATTGATGTTTGGTTTGTTAGAATAGGTCTTTTTGGCAGAAATACAACTATTAGCAAATCTTTAATCTGAGGGTTTTAAAAAGCTAAATAATTTGGAAATAATTTTTTTAAGTTAATAATAATAATTCTTCACATTTATAAAGCGCATTTCTGCACACTCAAATCGCTTTACACATTTTAGGGGGGATCTCCTCATTCATCACCAGTGTGAAGCATCAACCTGGATAACACGACGGCAGCAATATTGCGCCAGACCGCACACCACACCAATGGATGCAGACATGATGCAGTTTCAGACCGATGCAATCTCGGCCGCGCATGCGCATTTATATCGATGCAATCTCAGATGCTCACACACATTTTAACATGTGTATTCTCGTGCACGTTGTGGCGGGTCAAAGACGGAATTACGGCAAAATACGGTTTACAAACTAAAGGTACGACTGACAAAATAAATTCCTATGTATCTATACACATAACTATAAGAGAAAGTGTGCCCGCTTGTGCATGTGTGGCTGAGTGCTTTCTGATTGCGAATGCCTAGCTGAGATTGCATTAATCTGAATGCGCATGTCTGGCTGAGATTGCATCGGTCTGAGACTGCATCATGTCTGCATCCAGACCCTTCTCCACCACACACCAGCTGATTGGTGGAGAGGAGACAGAGTACTGAAGCCAATTATAACATAGGATGGTTAGGAGGCCATGATGAACAAAGGCCAGTAGGCAAATTTGGCTAGAATGCTGGTGTTCGACCCTACCCTTTTTTTGAAGGACATCCAGGGGACAGGACCTAGGTTTACATGTCATCTGAAAGATGGTGCCCACTGAGCAATATAGAGTCCCCATCAATATACTGGGGCGTTAGGACCCACACAAACCGCAGGTTGAGCGCCCCCTGCTAGTCTCACTAACACCACTGCTTAGCTTCAGTGGACAACCATGTGAGAGTTGCTGGCGTTTGTATAAATGTTATATTTACAATAATTGTTGTGTAAATTAAGACAAATTCTTAGAAATGCATATAAGTATTCAGAATTTTGATATATTTATGGAGGGAAATTTACAAAACGGCTTCATGGAAGCTGATGCTTACTTATTATTCTAATGATTATTGGCAAAACATAAAAATGCACAATTAACCCTTTCATGCATGGCGTCCACATTTGTGGACAGTTAATTTAACTTAATTTAAGGTTCATTAATCATGGTAATTTTCTCCAAACCACTTGAGGGCAGTGTCGGTAGACTGTCAGCAGCATTGTCACAGTGGCTACTCTTTTGCATTCCAGTTATTAGCTGCGTCCCAAATGGCACACTATACACTATGCACTCATGCACTATGTACTTATGCACTTACACACTCAACAGGATAGTATATGTATGTAGTGGCGTCCCAAATGGCACAATAACGTTTTTTTGCTAAGCGGAAATTCAAACCGTTTCCCTGATGACGTTTGACGGTTGCCAAATCACTGAAATAAACGACCGAATTATCAAGTAATACCTGCCGTGAGTATTGCCGAATTCACCATCGGGAGGCGCTATAATCACTCTCGTAGGAGAATTTTGCTTTCACCACCCAAATAAATAAAGTTATCCAACATGTGCGCCCGATAGCTCCACCCTTCCGCTACGTAAGCAAACCTGCGGTCGTTGAGTGCGTGAAGTGTCCATCATTACACACTTCATTTTAGCGGCTGAATAAGTGCATCATCCGGGTTATTAAAGTGCACTTATTATTTTTAGAGTTTTCAATGTGAACACACTACTTACACTATTTATACTACAAAATGGCGTAGAATAGTGCATAAGTATGCGATTTGGGACGCAGCTATTCTTTGCTTGATGACATCATTAATCCAAGATGGCCGACAGTGATGGCCGTGTGCTAAATGCCTCAGACATATCTATAAAAAACGTTTATTTAAGGGGGGCAACTGAGGTGAAAAAATATCAGTATGTACAGAAAAGTATGATGAATATGTTAGTAATTTATTAAATTTAGTGTAAAATGTAGTTTTTATTCACCAAAAACCAACTTTCCACATATGTCGACATCTTGCAACAGAGTCAGATTGCATAAAAGTCCTTTTTTTCTGTAACCTGCTAGTATCTATTCTTTTTTTAAAGATGTTATAAATTCCTTATTACAATATAAAACGGACATTTAACAATTATATTAACATAAATATTTATTTAAACCGACATATTACAGCATTAAATGGCAATTTTACACATTTATATGAAAACAAATGAGCATTTTGCCTTCTAAACAGTGAAAGAATAGGTCAGGAAGTCAGTACAGAATAATTGAGAAAATTCCAGTGGGAGTGACAGCAGTGATGAGTATGTGTCAGGTTACCCTGTGTCCTGACAGCTTTGTGGGCTTTCACACGAAATAAGAATAATTTATTGCGTGCTGTAAAAAGACCAGTTTCAACTAAAAATACTATAACTGAGATGATTTAACATGAAG